GGGAGTCGGCCCTGCTTGTGTTTGCTGATTAGGGTGACTAGGTGACGTGCCATAAATTCAGTGTTGAAGACAACTTTGCGCACAGTAGTGAATTGATAGAATAGCTCACAGCGGGTGGAGCTGGATTCTTTGTCAGGTTGTTTTCATATCGACCTTCACTCCACTTCTAGATTGCCAAGCTAGTTGATTCTTCCATGGGGTGGACGTTTTAGAAACGTGTACACAGTGTATGACAGCATATCACTGATGCCCTTCGCAAAGAATTGTCAACTTAATGGTACATCAAGTAATAATTGTTCTATATTGTGTACTGCACCATCCTTGGTTGTACAAAAAAGCTAGGACTGACTCAGGGTGGATCCACTCCAGGCAAACCCACTCCATGCCGCTGCAAACGGATCCACACCTTTGCTTGAAGCCGAGAAACTTCGCCACTTGTGAGATCAGAAACTGTATCACTGGGGTCCTTTGAATATGGAATAAGAATGAATAAGATTGTGCTAGCACTGCCTTAAGAACATCAATGCTTTTGAGGCCTGGCAAATCCTGACGCAATCGGCTGTCCCAACATCACCTCCCAGCCCTGCAGACAGAGGTTGAACAGTTCGTTGCCGAGGTTCGCTGCGCAAATCTTGGAGCTTCACGACATTGCTGAGTTCTCAGATTGACGAACTCAAAGCTTATACTAAATAGCTTATATACAACCTACTAGCGATGGCCTCCGACATAGATTTTGTTAAGGTGGCCTTATTACATTTTGTCTTGTCCTCCAGAACATTTTTGGCAGCAAGTTGACTGGCAGACTGGCAGAGGAATTACTGGTTCACCTGATTGTTTTGTTCATGTATGTTCTAAACCAATGAAGTTTATGACACTCCAGAGTGCAGCACTCATCAGGCTCAGACATGAGCACTCTGTAACTCACCCATGAGTCTGGTTTGTTTGGTGCACGTTCACCATGAGTCTTTGCATCTCCATGTTCAAGTTAGAGTCCACCATCCATTTGTCGTAGCCTCACATGTGTGGAAAGTCCAGCCAAAACAAATACTGACACACGAGCCGTACAACGGACTCACGAATGAATTGCTGAGGTGAGAGTTTTGCAGAGACACGTTGGGCTCTTTGAAGCTTTTGTCAGCCATGATTGACTGTGCAGTTTGCTCGGACAAAGCAAAAGGAGACAAGTGAGACAAGATCGTGTGGACTTCTCCCTAGCGGCCCTAGCAAGTTCACAGCCCGCAATACAAGAGTTTTGAAGTGTGGATTTTTCCTACCCGGCGTCGCTTACCAGCATTGCTGCATTGCTTGTTTTGTTTAACCTGGAGACCTCCATGACTGTAGATAAGTTAAATTGATAAGTGACCAGCATATTGTGCAATGGGTATAGGATGTTGATGAATATATTTTTTGGTCCCTACAACTGCTGATAAGTGCTGTCACGCGCGGAGCCCCTGCAGCACTGCAGGGTGCTTTGGTAGGTGGCCTAGGTTGTATGTTGAGATATACTGAGTAGTATCCTCAGAATTGTGGTGCATGATGGGTAGCGGAGGAGATCTTTGTTTTGACTGTTGTACTGTAGACTGTAGATCTATTTTCTCTCAATATCCACGAGTCCACCAAGGACGCTACTCGGGGCTCCTGGCCTTACTACTAGGAACAAGAAGCTACTAGGGGCTCCTGACATCACTACTAGGAGCAACGACGCTACTAAGTTTGTAGATTAGATATTGTTTGGTGGATTCATGGCGGTCCTATGCCATTGTCACACCATTATGTTGCGTGCTCAACCTTTGCTCCCTGGGGACATTGAGGCAGCTGGAGGTTGGCGCTGGTTTTACCGCTGCTTGGTAGCAAATGCAGAGATGCATAGAGATGCATACTGCAACACGTTCATTCCCTTTGCACGAGGATCGTCATTTGATTTTGCCTCTTTTGGTAAAGCAGTGCTAGTTCGAGTTCTGAGGAGATGTTGTCAACGTGATTTGTATTTGCAGATGGCTTAACATGGCTTAACCATATTATACTATATGCTTGAACCACAATGAAGCATTGTTGAGCCTCTTGCGTTTGCCAGAGATTCTGACCTCGCCTTGTGAACTTCAGGGGCACTGTAGGCATTAAAGACTGCGTTAAAGTGTCCTAGGAATCCGATGTTGCCGCCGGGCTGATACTTCAGCAAGAGAGCGCGCCGAAACATAGACAGACAAGGTTACTTCAAGTCGAACGCACTGTCAGTACAAGTGGAAAGAAATAAAAAGATGTGTATCTAGGGTATTGCAGAGCAGATGGACTTGAAGAACTGCATAGACGTCAGCAAGCAGCCACTTACCATTTCACAAGGAGCTTCGATCAACACTCTGTCAATCAATATGTGGTTGTGTCCCTTTGAAGCCGTAAACTGCCTCAGTTGGACGAAACTGTCCCTGAGTCCCTGGTGGTTGGGCCGGGTTAAAAAGAGCTGCAGAACGTGGCGGGTCATGCAATAGGCCTTCAAATGCAACAGACTTTGATTGCGACATTGATCAAACATGCTGAAACAGAGAGCTGATGGTACGATCAGACTTGGCAGTGCGGCATTTGAATCCTTAGTTTCGCTATAAGTGCTTAACTTTGCATTGCTTCCATTATGATACTATATAAATATACTTCAATCAGTGTTCCAACGCAGCTATTTTCTCAAAATAGTTATCTCCAAGCATTTTTTGTTGGACTTGCTTGAGCATTTAAATTCCACCTCACTCCGACAATGTTCAAAAGATAGATGTTCCCTTACCCAAAGGCCTTCCAATTTACACAGAGAAGCACTGAAATTACAAACAGTTTATAGCCAATCATTAACCCTAAATAAGACAGAGAGAAGCGCTGTTGCGGCCATGGCCTCAGAGGTGAAGCAGATCCTCGATCGCTTCGCGGATTCCTCGGGCTGTTTGGATCGGAAGGTGCTTCTGCGAACCATTTGCCGTGTGGCACCAGATCTTAGCTCGAAGCCTGGAGCAAAGACGATTCGCTTGCCAAGAAGTTTGCTAGTAGGGTGGAGGCCATCGCTATTAAAAACAAAGGAAAAAGAACAGGAAAAAAGATGAAAAAAGATGCTATACGGGTTTTCTGTGTGAGGGGTTGTTCCAGTCATTTTCAGCCTAGTGGGCGAGGTGGGCTTGGCTGGGGCAAGTAAGGCTTGCAGTATTCACGATGGGTTCATGGGGCATTAAAAGGAAGATCGAAAAGGAACGCGTTGTTGTGTAGTGGAACCCGCATGCCTCCAGCTTGTTCTTGAATTTCCCCGACATTGAATTTGCTTGCAGTCGAAGGCGAAAGCGGCTAAGAAAAGGATACGCACAAAAAGACTCACAAGTGAGATCGTTCTTGCTGACAGCTTGGACCAAGTTCGGATCATATTTATATTGTACACACCATTATAGTTATATAACTATATATACGTACTGGGCTCTTGGAACAATTGGATAGTTCAAATTTCATGTCATTGAGTCATGAAGCTAAAGCTTTCGTTGTTTGAGGCGACAGGTGGAGCTCCTCCTCTCAAAGCTTGGAATTGGAGAGACCGAAGTGCCTTGCCACCTCTTCGTTGAGAAAATCTTCCGAAGATATGAATACAAGGCCTGCAGGGTAAAACCAACGCAGCAACTGATATATTGGTGATGTTCCCGTTGGTCCTGAAAGACCTGGACCTTTTGAAATTATTTTGCCTTCGGAAAGTATGACGATTTCATCAGATGCAGGGGCATTCCAAGCGATATGGAAATCCGGAAGTGGCATGACAGGTGACACTACGAGCTGTGTCTATCCGAAGCGATTGGCAGCTGCCTGTGGTTTTGGCGCCCCTCCGCGCACGTTTGCATGCACTGGGCGCATCTGATGTCTCAGTCATCATGGAGGTTGGCCCGGAGGCACGTTCTGGAAGATGTAAAATTTTTGCTATTTGGCCCTAGAAATCTTCATGGACATGCAATGGACACATAATGGACACACCGCCATATGCTTACACTGAATACTGATACTATGATACTATGATACTATACTATACTATACTATACTATACTACTGACTAAGCACTTACCCAAGGGAAAACCTTTAAAGTAGTTGATACTTGATATGCTTCACCTACTCTTTGCTCTCCAGGCATTCGTCGCCCTTTGCAACGAAAGGCTAGAAGAGATTGTTCGAGGTGAAACAGGAGATGCTGTGATGAAGCAGCTGGATAGCTGGACTTCCATTCTACACTAAAGCACCAGTCTGTTGAAGACCTGCGGATGGTGCTGGTATACAGTAGCTTGCGTGACATCACAGAACATGCTAGATTGCATGGTGAGCTGCTGTTAGGAGACAAGAGGTAGACGCAGAAAACATACCATTTGACCGGACCTGTCAACCTTATATTTGGAGCGGCAAGGTTTGAGTATAACATGTGTGTAACATGTATGATTATAATGTAACTATCCAAAGCCCTCGAAGAACTGACTGCTATGAATACGCACTGTGGAAATGAGTAGGACTTGCAGAGCGAAGCACTGATGCTTCAGATTCGCCCAATGTTGCATCCCGACTTTCAAGAGGCTCCTTTTAAAAAAGTCCTCAGCCCTGAATCAGGCCTGTCGCCTCAAGCTGTCAACTGCTTGATATGTTTCACCCCAATATCTCCAAGGTGGAAGTTTAGAACCGGCAATGTCAAGTATGGCCAAAGTGCCATAGTGCATCAACAACAGCCGATTGCCAGAGAACGATAAGGGCAATCCTATCAGAGGGCCCCAAGTCGTCCAGAGTGCCAAAGAGCAAGCCGAGTCATCGAGCGAAGTCAAGTACTTTGAGCAGCCACGCCACACAACTTTATTATGAGTAGTTGAGCAACATCGTGTATATAGGCAAAGCAGAGAGAGAGAGAATGGACGGAGACTGCATTCGCCCTGTGTATCTTATTTGCATGGTTTGCCTTGATAGCAAAAACTGCCTTTGTTCATTCCTTTGCAGGGCCAAACTGCATGCAGGCGCACTGGTCGAAAGCTGCAGCGACTGAAGAAGTTGGACCCAGACTTCGGGAAGGCAACTTGCCAAGAATTGTTGTTCAAGCAAAACATGTCAGTGAACAATGTACCTCAGCCTGCGACGGCAGGTTCTGAACTTTGTCGACAAGCACAGTAATGCAAAGATAGGCGGTCTGCAGCCTTTTGATTCAGCTGCGTGTGACGATCGTATGGCATCGCATCACACTGGAGTCGTTTTATTTTTGTCTCAAGACCTTGCAAATGACGGTATATAAAATTTGACGAGTTTACATGCTGTTCAGCGTAATTGATCGGTGGGAGGGTGAAAACAAAGCCTGTTTGCAGGAATATAGTTATGTTATATAATTATACGGGTATACCTTTTTCACTTACAGTCAGCCAGTTGTTTGATGTGACGTCATAATCCCCAGCGTTGTGCAATGCCGCGCCGACAATTTTGCTCATTGGCTTTGCAGGCTTTGCATGTGTTTCCATTGTTTTTGGTTATCAAAATGTTCAGTGTTGGGGGCCATTCTCAAGGCAATTCATACATCATTTCCACAACAGGCAAATTATCGCATGAGAAAGATGCATGATTGTTTCTTTGGCAAACTGGACCTCCTTTGACTGTAGGTCTTTGTAGGACAAATGGCCGCCTTTCGTGGTCTTATGAGACTTGCAGCACTATTGCTTTCCTTGAGCTTGGCAAGAGCTCTTCCAATCGATCCAGAAGAACATGTGTGGCATGGCTTCAATAGGTATCAAGCAAACTCAAATCAAATCAATCCTGTTCATTTTGCTTTGTTGTTGGAGTCTATATGGGGATCCGGGATAGGGGCGATTGGTGTCTGATTTCGAGAGTTAGATGTTCTTGACATTTAGATGCAAAAGCAAAATCTTCCATTGAAGCCAAGGTGTACAAGTATGGTAGAATGATGTGAAGCTAGCACTTACCCGGGGCTGAAGAATAGTGCAGGGTTCCGGGGCATATTGGGGTTGCTTTCCTTTGCTCCAAAATTGCACATCAAAACGAAAGTGGAAAGGACTTTCGGCCTTTATGGAGACTCCAACCTACTAGCGATGGCCTCCAACCTAACAGCGATGGCCTCCAACCTAGTAGAGGGTCTTTTTCTTGAGGTCTTCTTCTGGGCTCTTCAGCCCCACTCGAAACCTCAGCGAAGCTGCAAAGTATATGGCTTGGGGTGCTCAGAGGCCACTGGAGCAAACCAGCAATCAGTCGTTCATGATAATAAGAATATATGAGAGTAGCAAGTTCCAAATTCACAAGAGCTAACTACAGTGTATTATATATACTATATTCCGTGAATCCAGATTATGTTTCATTTAGCGCCAAGGTTTTGAATGGATACTTCAACTGCTGAGTTTCAACAATGTTGAAACCAGAAAGGTTAGTTTCAAAGCTGCCAGGGGCTGTGGACGATGCTTCTTTTACCTTGGAGCTATGTTGGCATTGGGTGAACCAGAGACCAACATCTCGGCCCGCTTCAAAGTTCTACAAGATGGCAACATCGAATTCCGGTGGCATGGCAATGGCAATGGCTTCCTCAAACAAATGTGATTGAATCCCGGATATGCGGATAGGCTATGATTGATGAACGTGTACAGTACTTCAATCAAGCATTCTTCTCACTCTGATCCCAAGGCAGAAACACCTGTCAACTTGGGTTGAATTACAAACAATGGAATGATGTAGCTGGCCTGCAATGCTTAGGTGGGCCCGTGGCTTATCCCGGGCCGAAGGCTTGCCTCCATCTATTTCCACGCTGGACCGGCCGGCCATAGCCTACTATGTGGGTGCAGAGAAGGGAGATCCATTGGCTGTGCTGGCGTTCTCGTGACCCTGCGGAATGTATTTTGCTTAGGAATGCTTTGCCAATTTGATATTTTGTCAGCGTACATTATTCCTCTTGGGAATCGACATCATTTTTTGCAATCTCCATGGTGGAGAAATTCCGTGTGTTCCACATCTTTTCCACTAGGTACTACGTTCTGAACCGCATCACTTTGGGCTCTCCGGGAGCTGCCTGGTGGACCACCACTCAGCACTCGCCTGCGTCAGCTCTGCGCAGGAAGCCCTGGAGGGAGGAGGCCACACCAGCGCCACCTGGCAGACTCAAAGTGGACTCAAACTTCACATAGCAGAATTTGTGTTCATTCCATCTCATGCGACTCATGCCCTATGCCGTGTGCAATCCAGCAAGGTCTCTTTTTGCATTTTGCAACAGGCTAGACCCTGGCCTTTGGAGTTGAGGCTTTGCCAGCGGATCCTTCGCACTTTGGAGAATGTGGCGGACACAGCAGCGCGGAACGAGGTGCCGGTCCCTTTTTGACTTTTGCTGCTTATATATTTGTGAAAAACACGTGAATGTGTTTGACTGGCTTATCAGTTTGGTTTCTGCTGGAGTTGAGACAAGTCATGCCAGCGAAGCCCCAATTATGGAGGGTACTGCTGCTAGAGTAGTGGTCAGAATGCCGAGAGGTCTATCACGGTTTCATTGTCTCAGGACAACGCACTAGACTTCAGTGATCTGAACTTTTACGTGCAGAATGCCACAGAGGTGAAACGCGCTAAGAAGGAGCATGCTGATGCTCACCTTATATAAGGGAACATGAGAATGAGGGCGAGTACAAAAGGCGAGCCCACAGTCCATCCACAGTCCTTCACTTCCCACTTCAGCAAGAGAGATGTGTTGACGAGGCCAGGTTGGTGGTTCGCGCAACTCACCAGAAAATCATACACTCCTTGGCAACCCAGCTGGATCCTAGGATTGGATAAGGGCACATTCCAAAGATGGTGACAAGCAGGCGGAGGTGGTTGAGGCAATGTCACTTGGTGCAAACTTTGATCTTGCCAACTTCCCTGTACTTGCTATGGGAATGCAGATGTCAGTTATTTATGAATCCAAACACATCGCATCCATTCCACCGACCTTCCCCAGTGCAAAGTTGCTTTGGAATTAATGCGTTTTTACACAAGACACACAGGCCCCTATCTAGTAGTACGGCCAGGAGCCCCTAGTAGCGTCCTTGCTCCTAGTAGCGATGCCCTTTGCTCCTAGTAGCTTCTTGCTCCTAGTTTCCAGCCTCCACAGGCACCTTTTTCCGGCTCCTCACAGCAGAGGTATCTTTTCCACGGCGATGCGGATTTGAACCTGTCCCGCAACGTCTCACGTGCCCTGGAGCTCTTTGAGGCCTCAGCCCGTATCACGGCCGAAGCCGCCTGGAATTCGATGTTGCCACTCAGCACAGTTTGGTGCAAGAAAGTAACGAGCCAATCATTGTACAGAGAGAACGAGAGAATGGGTAAACATACGCAAACGTTTTAGTGGATCCTTTGAAACACCATCATTGATCAAACCTTGGACGTAGGTTGCTGTAGCCGAAGATACAATGATTCAATTGTGCCAATCGCGTGTTTCTCATTCAATCTCAGACAATGGTCACTTAGACGAGTGTCCAGAAGTATACCCAATCACTGGCTCAGCCATTTCTGGAGCAGGTGATTTAGATTAATTTTGTTCCTTGTTGACAGCAGTTTTTTGTTTTTCAATATAAGCCTCAGTCCATCTCTATTGACCCAAACGTAGGCTCGACATCAGTAAGTGCAGGGATTCCAGTCACAAATTTGAGGCCTGGGAGTATCAGTACCTAGGTCATTCGAGGTCACCCTAGGTCTTAGACTTGGGACATCCTGCACAAACTTCAGAGTTCTAGTCGGCAATTTTTTTGTCTTTCAATAGTGTGTCATAATGTGTCGTCGTAGGCTGAACGGGTTGTGTGCTGTGAATTGCTGCCGAGGTTGCACGCACGAGGAGGGCATGACTCAAAAATTGTCCACCATGCCCAAAACATCATCCAGGACAGGAGCGTACTTAGCATCATTCTGCTGCCGGCAATCGGTTTGTGTGGATTTGTTTTCAGGATCCAGAGGCCACGCCCCTGCAAAAGACCATGTCTCAGCATTACCTCCACCGCTTCGGAGCAGACGACACCCTCCAAAACAGCACGCGTGCCGGCGTCTATTTGTTGGCAGCAGCCGAGCTTGGAGATTCGAATGCACAGCAAATGACGCTCGCCGGGGTATGTGAAACGATTTCCAAACGTTTTGTAGGGAAGGCTATTATGTAGGCATTATTACCCCATTGATGACACCAGAGAAGGCTATTCATTATTAACTAGACTAATCAACAATATGTAAGTCTGTGTAGAGGCTGTTCATTGCTTGTGGGCTTCATGGCCAAATGCTTCGCCATAGTCCACGGTTCGCCTTTGCGTGAAAGACTCACGCCCTCCAGGATTGCTCATGCTTATGCAGGGCTCGACCTTCCAGAGCTGAACAATGTGAAAGTGCCAGGCACTCCCAATGCCAAACGTGCCCTACACTTTTACATGAAAGCTGCCAAGCAAGGACGGTCACTTGGTGTCAGAGTCTTGCAGACGGGAGATGAAAGGTAGCGGGAGAGAGAGAGGGAGAGAGAGAGAGAGAGAGAGGGAGGGAGAGAGAGAGAGAGAGGGAGAGAGAGAGAGGGAGCGAGAGAGAGAGAGAGGGAGGGAGAGAGAGAGAGGGAGAGAGAGAGAGAGAGGGAGGGAGAGAGAGAGAGGCGTCAAGATACAAGCTCTTTTACAATAGCATGCTTACTCCATCGTAGTGTTCATGTACAATTGCTTGGTGCTATACAATGCACCTTGGATCGAGGCCTTGAGCCTAAGGACAGTTGCCAAGAGGAAAACAATACAGAGACGTGCACAAACAAACGACAAACAAACAGCTGCTGAATTTTACATGGTAGCGGAGCAAGGATCCTGGTAACAACAATCCAGGTGAGCTCCAATACAACCACAGGAACAGACACACAAACACAGACAACAGAGGACAAGCCTTGACCCTACAACAGGTAGCTTGAACAGCTGCAACAATGGCAGCACCACAAGCAGCAGCTCAAACTGGAGACGGCCTGCCTCCAGTTCCAGAAGATGAGACAACTACAAACATGGCAAACATGAACAGATACAAACTCAAACCACCTTTCTTCAATGGAGACTATGGCACGTTCGAGGAATGGAAATACAAGTTCACAGCATACATGGGATTGCAAGACAATGACTACACAGATTGCTACAAGCAGCAGCACGAGGCACAGCAGAACTTACAGAAATACAACTAAGAGCAGCGGCATCAACAATCGAAGATGGTGAACGACATGTTCACCTCAGCACCGACTTGAGGTACATCCTCATCAACACAACAACAGGAGCAGCAGCTACAGTCTGCAGACAATACCAACACACAATCGGCTTCGAGATGTACCGACAACTGTGCATCCGCTTCTCCATCCCATTGGGGACAAGATCCATAGGACACTTGACAAGATTGTTGAAACCAACATTTGACAAGAACAACTTCGAAGAATCATTTTCCACATGGGAACTTGAGCTACAACGATTCGAGCGAGACAATGGACAAACACTCCCAGACTCCGTGAAGATTGCCGTAGTGCTCAACGAGACAAGTGGACCACTACAACAACACCTACAACTGCTTTCAGGACAAAGCCCAAACTATGCACGAGTCAAACAAACCATCATCGAGTACTACAGGTCAACAACGGCATTCAGCAAACTACAACAACTACGATCACAATCGTCCAGCGTGGCGACA